TTATTTCTTTGATAGTGTTACTTTGAACTCTTATTGTAATATTTTAGAATTTAAAACAACATGTACAATATGGTTTTGTCTAGGTGTCAGTTGACGGTCATGTTTTTCACATGATTGAATCTTTAACTGTACAACTTGGATATAAAGTCTCTTACAGTGTATATTTCAAGAGTTGGTTGCAATTTTGTTGTAACTTGGTGTATATAAAGAACAAGTTACGAGCTTGTTGAAAATATTGATAAAGTCTGGTTAATCCCAAAGTTGGAAATAATCCTTGTGAAGTAAGCTGGTCAATGATAGATCTGTATGTGATGTCAGGTGGAAGAAAAATATCTGATTATATTTTATCTGGGATATTGTAATTTAACAACTAAAAATAACAGTGTACTTTAAACCTTAAAACCTGCTGATTTTGTGTAATGGGCTGATCCATCTATGAGTGTGGAAGAGTCCATTGTTTATATAAAGGGATTTTGATATCAAAGTATTAAAATTGAGCTTTAGACTCCTGGCAAAGGCCTTTCTTTATGGCTCCATGTGTCCAAAGCAATGAATTATTGGAGACTTTCCCATGTCATATACAGATAGTCACCAATAGTCACCAATTTAACAAGGGTACTATGACATTGGTTGTTTGTACAAGAACATTTGTCATACAATAAAAGTCATATCAAATTATTTACTTTTCAAGACTTCAGGTAATAATTGATTTTGATTTCTTTATAATTATATCCTTAGCTAAAATATTACATCACGTACACAAATAGGTGTTTATTCTAAATATTTGTAGAAAACTTTGATTGTGACTAAAATGCCACAGGGTATGAGAGAATAAAAAAAAATCCATTATAGTTAATATATTACATTTGCTCCCCCCCCTGACTACCTTAATGTAACAAACATATAAATGAAAGAGGCAATGCAAATATCTTGTGAATAAAGTATCATATTATATTTGGTCATAAAACTGAGTATGTAAAAAAATTTAAACAGCTAAAAGCTGAGACATTATATATATTATACAGGTACGGGGACAAATATTTAGCATGCATTTCTGATTGGTTGACTAGTGGCTGAGTGGTAAAGGTCACCAACTTCAAATCAATCGCCCTCAGTTTGTTGTTGGTTTGAATCCTGTGAGGAACTTTATATGTTTTCATGTGCGAAAGCTATCCAGCTAGCTTATGGAAAGTCCGTGGTTCTACTCAGATGCCGCTCATGCCTGAAATAATGCATGAAAGGGCACTTTTAGTGTTCCTCCACTCCAGACACTATCCAGTATTAGCACAATAGGTAAAGCCTTGGACAGTGAATCAGGCCATTTGGGTTCAATTCTCAGATCATGCAGGTCACTTTCGTTGATTAATTAAATAGCTTTTGTAAATAAACTTTTCCTCATGTTCACAAAATTTACCTTTGTGGTGGTAATGGTATACTTTACTGGCATTCCAGAGAATACTGTAGTCCTGCGCTCAATTCCTGCTACAGTGCCTAGCATTTTTTTTATGTGTGAGTTATATTTTCCATCTATAAATTACCATATAGAACTCAAACTATTCCTTTTATGGTGTGGTACAGTCTGACATGTATATAAATGTTTTTTTGATGTCCCACTCAAGATTTTTATCTCAGGCCATTAAATGCTGATTACACACTTAAAACAGATTTATTTTTGCTTTACAGTAAACCTGGCATGGACTTGAAATGCATTATTTGCATAATTTCATGATTCATGTGTTAATGGCATACACAACATTACAGTAGTCATGAGATATAAAAACATTTAGCCTTGTGGACATGCATTCACTTAACATACAATATATAAATTGTTTGAAATCCATCTTTAAATGAATACATATATAATTATATATATATTTATAATTATAATTAAATAAAACACCTCCAAGTGACATCACTTGTAATATCCACAGGAAGTATTTTTTTGTAAAAATAATGAGAAGATAAATGAGGGATGTTTTGTCACTTTTGTTGTCTAATATTAGACGTAAGCAGCCTTCAGTTTGTTTGAAAAATGTGCGGTTATGACCAACCATAATTATGTACCTGTCAAAGGTCATACAATTCGTGTATAAAACATCTGTTAGGCTATTTCCCCCAATACTTTCTCCACCCCATATGTCTGGTCATATATTGCCTTAAGACATTCTTATGAGTGAAAACAATATTGTTGTATCTCTTTCTTTATGTCATATGAATATTGACCATTTTTGCACCAAACTTTAAAAACCTTTGGTGTAATCAGCTGACTTGGTCATTTAGTCCACTCAGTGATAGCATCAGAGGGAGGGTCCACGTTTCTGAGATTTGGGGTAAATTTTATTTACTGAACTGCTTGAGAAATTGAATGTTTAATTGTTCGCTGACTTTTGTATCTGCTGAGTAAACATTAATTTTACCACCTAAATAGATAGTTCATTGTGGTGTTAATATAGAAATACTACTTATGGATATGCACACATTTTAGAATGGAAATCTGTGGCTTTTATTATTTATTTAGCAGGGTTTTTTTTAATCGGTAAATTTCATAGATCATTTAAGGTCATATGGTAACTTTTAAGATGGCAGAAAAAGTTTGATAATTACCCACAACGACACGAAGTAAAAAACCCCCCAAAAAACAGTCATCCCAAGCTTATTGCTCCTCTTGCTCTACGATGGAAGTCAGTGTAGTTAGCAGTGTTCTCTGTTTCCTCTTCCGCTGTTTCCCCTTCTGCTGTTTCCCCTTCTGCTGTTTCCTCTTCCATTGTTTCCCCTTCCGCTGTTTCCCCTTCTTACTCATGCTTTCTGTATATAGCTTAACTTGCTTTCAAATAGGTTCAGCTATGCCCCTGAAGATCTAAATTTGGAACTGAATATGAAACTTCAATGCAAATGAATGATAAAATGTAAACAGATTAAATTTTAACCCACAGATTAAATTTGAACCTACAGATTTAATTTGAACCCACACACTAATAAGAAAATAAATTGTTAAATCATGTCTTTATTCCTTTATTCTTTTTATATGTTTGGTTGTCTTAGCATAATTAGAGTTCATTGCATAACTGATGTTACTTTTTGTTATAAGTCGAGTTTGTTACAACATTGTTGAATCAATCTCTCAGTTTGAGATTTTCATGATAAGATGAGATTACCAGTATTATAATCTGAGAACACAATGGTTGACAATATCATAGCATACAAGTACAGGTACATGCCCACAGGGTTTTAAAACCACATTGTAAATTGCATGATATATAGTAGTTATAAATGACTGTTTTTGATAACATGTGAAAGGTGCACTGATTTTTGTAGATGAGAAAGCAAATACACCAGTTATTTTTGTTATCTTTGTCACACAAATTGTCTGTTATGGGACAAGGAAGATAATGTTTAATGACAGAAATGATTAAGGCTATGTGAGTGACTAGCAAGGTTTAGATCATTATACATTTTCACTATTATGGGTTTCGTTTAAGTGTTGAAAATTGAGTACCCGCCCAAGCCAGTGCTGAGGGGCACTTTTTTCATTATCCCTACTTGTAATGTACAGAATGAAACCAAGTCTGCAATTTTCATGTAATTTTGTTGTTTGTAATGCTTCAGAGGAATCACCCTTTTCCCAGACTTTTAACCCTCAGCCTGCTTGCTTCGAGTTCAACTAAATCTGCCCATACTATCAGTGCAGACCAAGATCAGCCAGCCTGCTGAGGTCTGTGCTAGCCACAGCTCAGTCATAATTATTTCGAAATATTTCTAAAGATAATGAATGGGCTACTCTGGATTGAATACTGGTAATGGATATGTCCATTTATGATACTTAATGTGGTAAGGGTTAATATGAAAGCTGTCAGGAAATATGGACAACCTGTTAATAATGCTGATTATCAATAGCCCCTCCCTTGTTTGAACCCCATATAGGGCAGTAAATGATTAAACACTGGTTTGCCTTTAATAATGTACTGGTCAGCATCTTTGGCTTTATCCTCAAAGCTCATTTTAAGAATCAGAAGACCAAGTGGATATGTCTTCTAAAGTGAGAAAATGCCGCAGCGGCAGCCCTTCACTATACTGGAAGAAGAAACTAAATTTTAAAACCTCTAGAATGTTTGCCACTGTAGAATTTATAACTTGAGACCATCTTAACCCATAACCTGCTGGAACCAAAAGGTGATTTTAGCCTTTGCCACAAGTATAGAGACAAGCCAGCATGCACATCCGGGCAGCCTGACCTGATGCTCTATACTGTTGGCTGACCTAAACCACAAAACTGATAATGGACAGCTGAACAAGTTCATTTAAGAAAATTAGTGGGTTATGGGTTAAACAGACAGTATTTGCCATATCCGACAACTTGATGATTTGATCAAGTGATCTAGATCAGACCAGTCTGACACTCAGATGATGACAAGAGTATATTCTGAGTATTCTACTTCTTACCTCTCTGACCGCATGCAGTGGCCATGCAAAGGTCAAAGCAAAAGATAAAGTAAATGGTGAGACATTTAACACCAGGGGTCACTATCAAACTTTTCAATTTTCGGTATCAATTTTCACTTGTACCTCAAATTATAATGCCCATTCTATTCACCTACATGTGATTTTTCACTTCAACCACAAAACATTGGTTTTATAGATGTTCATGTTGCCCTAGGGCTCATAAAAAGGAGAAATATATGCATTAAAAATCACTTACACAATAAATCTTTTAAGAGCGACTGTGATTCAGGCAAGTGATCAAAGTTAAGATTAACCCAGTATGAAAAGATCAGTAAAGAGAATATACAATTTTGAATTTGGTAGACATTAAGTTATCTTGATGACATAAAACACATATGTTTAGAAAGACAGAGTTGATATTTGAGATATCTCATAAATATACTTCAATGTAGGCAATAAAGATAGACCTTGTTTTAAAAGTTCCATAAATGATATGATATGGCATTTTTATGTTTGCTTTAATATTAGGTCAACTTTCTGCATTTATTTCCTAATGGAACACTATTTCCATTGTAGTTGACTAATCGCAAGAATGGGTTCACTGATTCATAAAATACCTATGTTTGTACACTTTTATATCGAAAGTAAAGTGACGGTGAAATAAGAATACCAATAAAATATTTGAAATTTATGTGCTGTAAAAAATTCGTTACACTGGAATGATTTTTCAATAGGAGAGTGTTAAGTGACATTATGAACCGCAATACTTTGGATTAAATTTATTTTAAACCTTGATATAAAGTAAAATAAATGTTGCGAATGAAGTGTGTAGTGATTATAAATAAATATATGTATTGTGTGGCGGTTTAAAGTACACTAAATACAATATTCACCTTTTTGTCAGACTTTCGAATAAAGGTGTGTAATATATGTTTTGTCAACGAGAGGCAATGACTGTGTTGTGTTTGATTGATAAGCGACTTTCATTTTCGGCGGGACTTACTTACTAATGACAGTACACTGCGGCAATCTAGCCGTGCGTAATAAACTGCTTCACAATTGGATAAGCAAACCACATGAGCTGGGGATTTTGAATTTGAAATTTGAATTTTGTTGTCACATGATATCTTTATTGAATGAAGTTAAACATTTCGGTTATTGGAAGGATGAGTTTTATTAATGTTTTTTTTTAGGACACAAGTAATTTTTTTAAAGTGAAAATAAGTATGTTGTTGATGGGATATTATAATCACAAGGCGTGACAAACAAGATCGAGATAAGTAAGCTGTGAATTACATATTTTGCTGACTGGTTTTGCTTTATGAATTTTAAATAAGTATCGAGATGATTAGGATGAATATATGTGGGTGAGAATTTGAATTGTGGGTGAAATCAAGCAAATATTCTATATACATGAGGAACTGTTAGACTGAGAAATCATATTTTATACACAAAACATGGTCTAAACGACCTGAGATTAACTTTGTTTAGAAAAGGTTGATTATTATTTCACATTTTGAAAATTACGTGACCTTGATACAAAGTGCACTGTGTTTTACAACATGTAACATTAATGACATTGTTGGATTTGAAATGAAAAGTAAGAATTAACAAATAATTTTCGTAAAGTTGTTTGATGACAGTGGAGGGAAAGCAAAGAAAAAGTGGTTGACTGAAGAATAAAAAAACAGCAAGTGACATTTTGTAAAAAAGATAAAAGATATTTCATTCAGGAACAAAAAACAACGAAACTAATTGAAAATGAATTTAACAACTTCAAGTTACTCAAACATGCTGGGAGGTATGTGGGGGCCAGAAGGAAGCGAAATTAACGAAAGGTTAAAAAGACTTGAGCAGTTACAACAAATGCGGAAAGAACGAGAAGCAAAACTTAGAAATGACTTTAAAAGTGCCGAGACAGGTGTCAATATTGTAAGGACTGAAAGGATAAAATCATCTGATATTGATTCAGAAAACCCATCAGGATATAGATTTCGTAGAACAATGTCAATGCGTGAAAATGAAACTGATAGATACGGTGGTGCAAGACCTAAAATGGGCAGCTTTAGCTTGTTTGGACAGGACGATAATCAAGAGACTGATGGTAATCCAAAAACCATATTTAGTGGGATTGTTTCATCAGTGTTAGGTACCAGAAAACCTCTTAGAGCAGACTATTCAAGCAGGAGCAGGCTTGGTAGCGGGGATTCAGACTCTTCAGACACAACTTCAACTTCATCGTACAGATATGACTTTTCTCGACCAAACGTTACTGAAAATTCTTATAGTAGCTCTTACTCCAGGCCAGAAGAAAGCAAAGACAGAAACATTTTTTCAGGAATTACAAAAAAAGGCATGAATAGGCCTGGCTATGAAAGTAGTTCATACAGCAGGAGAATGAATACTGAGATACCAAGAGTGAATGATGAACAAAATAGCTATGATGGTGATGAATATAGTAATGAGCAAACATCTAATGAGAATGAAGATGTTAACACTGAACATTTTGAAAGTCATGAGATAGAGGACCATGATGAAGAACCTAAATATTTCATAGAGAGGCTGAAAAATGGAAATGGTAATTCCCAAAGTGAAACAAATGGATATGGACATTCTATACCAGCAGTTCCCCCTTACAATGGTGATGATTCAGAAGTTGAAACTTCTGAGGTTTATTATGAAGATCTTCACAACTCATGTATACAGCCAGAAGATGACATTTTGTCTGTCGCCCAAGAAATAAGTACTACTTTTGGAAACCTTAAGAGTCCAACTTACTTGACACCTAAAAACAGTAGTCAGAAAAGTTATTCCAGTAAAAGGTTCAGTGATGAAAAAATGAATTCAAATGGTGGTGTAGAGGATCCGGATGTTTCTGTGACATATGTTTTACAAGAAGCTGATTATGACAGTGAGGGAGATGAGGAAGGGAAAACATTACCTGTGAGAGAAAGTATGTACATTGCTAGTACCACTGAATGGAATGCCTTAGATCAGACACAAGGAAAGCTTGACGAAATGCATGAATTCTTTACCGGAGAGGCCCCAAATGAAGATCCAAACATTTCAAGAGAGCTTGATGGGGGTAAAGTGAAAGCTGAACTTGAGAAAAGCTTCTCAACACCAAAGACTAGTACTAAAGTTAATGGAAATAAAACCCCAACCAGTGTGAAAAAGAGTGCAAAGAAAGGAAGTGCTGTGAAAAGAAGTAAGTCCCCATTAGATAAATTGAAAAGTTCAGAAAGTGAAAATGATTCAGTTGCTACATCTGAAAGCGAAAATGATGTTCAAAAGAAAAGACCCACCACTCCAAGTAAAAACGGGACTCCAAAGAGTGCAAAGAAAGCTGAAAACAAACATGGAATGAGTCTTACTGATAAGCTTGCTAAGCTTGAGTCACTTACACAAGAAAAAAAGAGGAAACATTCCTTTAGTGAAACTGAAGGAAAAAAGAACATTCCCAGTTATATGACTGCAACAAGTTCCAGCCAGAAGAAAAGAGCTAAAGAAAGAGAGTCTTCACCAAGAAATTTAAAGAAAGATGTGAGAGAGCTTAAACAATTTGTGCATGAGCATGCTTCAGAACCAAATACTCCAGTTACTTCACCTACAAAACATTTTTCTGAAGAATTTACATACAAAGAAAGGAAGGATACTAGAGAAATGAGTGTTCAAACTGAATTTGTCATTGACTTTCCTGATATTGTCTATGTTTGCAAACATTGTGGAAAATCAAGCCAGGAAGAAGCACAATCCCCATTAACTAAGGAAAATCTGAGTAAAGCCTATGGACAAAAAGCAAAGAGAGAAAGTCCAGACAGTGAAAAAGCAAAAACTGTTGATAACAAAATCAGTTCAAAGGATTCTGTCAAATCATTTGGAGAAACAAGTACAAAGTCTGAAAAGATCTATAGGTATAAACCTAAGGCAACAGGCGGTGCACAAAGCTACATGAAAGGTACAACCAGTAGTAGATTGAGAAACAATGCTAATAACTTATCAAATTCAGATGGAAAAGCTAGAAAAGGGTCTGCACCTGAATTAGTTCACTTGGCTGAACTAGAGTCTGCTAAAAGTACTTCAAGTTTGAAAGGTATTGTCTCGCAGAAAGCAAAAGCTATTGAAAGTTCAACAAAAAGAGAAAAGAACAAACCAACATTATCCTTGTTTAGAGGCAGCAGCGTAGAGAGAAATAAATCAGACACAGCAAATAAAAAATCACAGCTAGCAAAGAGTAAAAGTGTTGACCAGGTCAATGTTTTGAGGCAAGAATTGCTGACACCAAGTAATGATACAAAAACAGAAAAACAAACCACTGAAAGTAAAGTTATCCAAAATAAGACTTCACCAGAAAATAATGCACCCCCAAATCCAGTCACTTCACCAACAAAAAAGAAAGCCCCTACTCCACCTAAAGTTGCACCTAAGCCAACTGTTGTTGAAAAGCTAGATTTGTCTTCTCTTGATTCCCCAAAGTCACCAATATCATCCAGATCACCTCGAGCATATAAAAGGCCACCCCTTGCATCTCCTAGAGTTCAAGATACAGAAATTAGTCCAAGAAGTGAATCATCTGAAGTAGCTGATGATGGCAGGGCAAGTGTAGAGTCCAAAGGACAATTTACAACTCTTGATGATAATCCATTTATAAAGAATGATTCTGGTAGAAGAAATAGCTTGAAAGGTCATGATAAAAATGAGTCGGTTTGGGAAAAGGCAGAGAGTAGATCAAGGGACTCTTCATTAAAGAGATCAAATTCTACATCAGATCGTGAAAGACCAAGTTCAGCTTCATCCTTAAAGCGTCACAACACAAGTGCTGGAGAAAAGTCAAGTGTCTCTGAGTTAACCTGGTCAGACTCAGGGTCAACAGGAAGCTTGAGAGGTTCTAAATCAAGCCTTCATGGGTCAAACTCAAGTCTGAATAAAGATAGCGGTTCAGCTTTCTACAGACCAAGAACTGTTAGTCAGTCGTCAATCACCAGTCAAACCAGTCAGAATGCCATGTTAAATTTGCTTTCGCCAATTGGTACAACACGTCATCCTGTCTCCGGAGCAATGGAGACAGACGTCGATGCTGCATACAATGATCAAAGTAAAGACTTACAAAAAACTGTTGATCATGATGAAGAGACGGTAAATAGAGCTCACCTGGACTTTGCAAAGAAAGCTTGTGATACAATGTTAGAATTTGAATTGAAAAAACGAGACTCGAGCAATGAAAGTGATAAAGGGAAGAATAAAACTGAAGATAATAAAGAAAATAACAATATTAATAAAGAAAATAACAATAATATTAAGAACTTGAATAAAGAAGACACAAGTGGTCTGCATAATGGAGTGGCGCCTGCTAAAAAAGAAAAACCAAAGAAAGGATTCCGAAAACTTTTTAAGAAATAAACACTATTAAATAATCAAGCAGATAAGCTATGACTTTGAAATGTTTTAAAGCAGTTTTCTTATTATTTGCTTTCTTCATTTCATGTTATTAAGATGTTAATTAAAAATAATTATGGTCTGTAAAGATCCTTATAAGAATATCATCATAAATACATTTAAAAATGACTTTTTAGAAAAATTAAGAAGACTAAAATTGTGTTTTTATAAGAAAATTACATGTAGATATTATGACTGCAATTTTTATTGTAATTTATTTTTTCAGTATATTTGCACATGTAACATTTTTGTACAAATACAAGTTTTATATAAAGTGTTAGAGGCTATGCTTCATTTGATATGATAAAAATACCAGTGTGATTGACAAATTGTGATACCTGTACCTGATCTTAAAGTTGTTGTTGTTGTTGTTCATGTTAAGTGTAAATTATCTAATTAGTTAAATGTTCTTTGATGTCTTTGATGTTATATGTGAGGGAAGGAATGGGTGGTTTTATAAATTGAATGTTGGCTTTGATTCACTGCTTTGACAATTTAATGGTTTTATGTTGATTTTTTAAGTAAATTGTTTTATAGTTTATTTATTTTATGAGATTTAAGCTTGAAATGGGTATATCTTTTTAAAGTTTACTTTATGAATGTTGTGCACCCTACTTGCCCTATGTTGAATTGGGAACTGCATCTGTTGTTATTTTTATTTATGATTAATTTATAAATGAGTATCAAAAGGTTGAAAATTATAAAGCCTAAGGTCAGCTCTTCAAAGATATGCAGGCCAGCTGGCAGCAGGCACATCTTTGTTTGCTGCTATTTTTCCACTCTAGTGTCATTTATTAAATTTTTTTTAACTGTTTAACAGTGTTATATATACCTGTACTTTCCTGAAATATATATTTGTTCTTTAACTTAAGTAACTTTGCAGGATTGCATTATGAAGGAATGGTTTTGAAGAAATTGCATAAATTTCATATTGTTTTAAAAGCTTGCTTGTTTTATATAATTATGATATATTGTATATATATACTGTTTGAGTGATAATCCACTATTACAAGTATTTCATGACCAATTTTCCTCACAAAGTCTCCTTTATGATTTGTGGACATAAAAAAAATGAAGAAAAAAAAGTTGTGATTTAAATGTCTCTGTTTCAAATGAAGTATAAGAATGTATGAAGTGAAGGCTTATTCTTGGTTGTTGATGTGTAATTAATTTGATTCAATTCTATGCAAATCTCCTGCTGAAATGACATAATAAATGCTTACATTGTTGGATTTTATTGCATGAAACTATGTTGGTTTGAAATATAGAATGTATATTGCCATAAAAGGACATGTGATTAAAGGGTGTAAAGCTATAAACTAGCTAAATTTACTATATATTAATTATAAAAAACTGTACAATAACAAATTGTTTCTGTATACATATGATTGTTTCTCAAAAGAGTTTTAGAGGCATATTACTATAGTTACATATTGATAATTATAGCAGAATGAAAACTTTAAAATAGAATTTATTTTGATCTTTATATTATCTTAGAATTATGAAAACACAAAATATTTACCGTATTAGACCTACTTCGTTTTAGAGTCATCTGCCGTTCATTTTGAAAATTTTGCTTATTTCAAGGGCAGATAATTCCCGTACAAGGTTAGCAAGGTCATAAGAAACTTCATGATGCAAATTTTATTATTATTTAACCAATTACTGACAGCCTTATTACAGCGAGTTACAATATATACAGTATATTAAATTTGTTTCCGTCATTAAGTTTAAGAACTCTAATTTAAATATGTAATGAATATGTTTAGAATGTGAACATTGTTTAAGCCCTATTAGGCCTCGGAAATGCTTTTTTCTCTCAAAAGCTTTTTATTTATGGTGTATTTTTATAGTTTTTTAAGTTATTCTTTGGCCAATTACTTGAAGCATCTTTTTATTCTGTTGCTATTTTGGCATCTAGTACAATTATAGTGATACAGTATGTCTGTATGAAGGCAAAATACTGCTTTGTTTATATTCCGCTACTTTAATGACAAGTCATTTCACATTAATCATGTTCCAGCCTACTCACGACCATGTTTCTTCATATGACACCAGTACAGGTTGGTTCCAGGAAGCGGACTCGAAAGTGATTAATATAAGTTCCAAGAACTTGTTTCGCAATATGTTGAAACCAATGAATCACTACTTTCTTCAGACAGGTTAACAGCATCTTAAATGCTCTTAAACCATTACTAATATATATTATGAAATTCATGTAATTGTTTTTGAGTGAGGCATGATGGGAATTAAGAAATTAAATGCAATATTGTTTTTTCTCAGTGAAACAAAATTAATAAGAAGCTTTAAAACCTTCACTTGTAGAAATCTCTAAAATTTGGCTAATGTAATAAATAGTTAAGTCCCTAATAAGAAAAAAATTAATCAATTTAAACAGCTCGGATGAGCAACGTAGGATTGTCTGTAGCTGTTTAAGATGTTAATTTTTTTCTTATTAGCATCTAAATAATTTCGTCTTTGGCCAACTTTTTGTATGCCTTTTTTCCTCAGAAGAGATGTGACATTTAAAATTTAATGTTATTGGAGACAGTTTAAGGGGAATAAATTTCCAGAAATTTTCAAATTTTGAGGTCTTCTCATTGGATGAAAAAAGGAGGACAGAGACTAATATCTATTATATTTCCCTTGTTTTTAGAACATTTTAAGTGTTTAGAAAATATAAGTTAGTCCTGCATTGAAAGGTTATGTAGCGGTTGAAAAAGATTAATTTATTAAAAGCTTTTATGTTTGCTGCATATCTTATATGTCGTGTATAATTGTTTTCAAATTTTTAAGCAGCTTAAAATTTCAACAAGGTTTAATAGTAAAAATACCCGGCATATCCTGCTTGAATTTATTTTTTGTTGAAAAAAAAGGAGTAGCCATGGCTGTGATGAATTATTTTTATAATTTAATGATTTCTGAATACATAAAAGTTCATGGAAATTTGTTAGTTTACATCACTTTTGGAATTGTATGTAATTGTCACGGGCTTAACAGGTTGTACTGATAAAGACACAATGTGGAGTTTGTGTCCAGTCCATAACTTTTGCATGCAAGATGGGATTTCTGAACAAATAATACACATGTCATGATCACCATATTAAGGTCAAGGTCTCAAATTAAGGTCAATGTCTTGGTAGTCAAATTGTGTATGACTTGTAACTTACAATTAGCCAGTCGAAATATTTCACCTTTGTTTTCATTTCGTCAGTTGACATGCAAAACATACTTGCTCACCTTCAAGGTCATGGTCATACTTGGAAATCAAAGGTCAAAACATGTCAGGCCTATAAATAAATTGTTACTTGATAGAATGTACTTATTTCTTATTTCTAGTGTATATTGTTTGTTTTTTCAATTAAGGCAATGCTACAGTTAATACTTGTCAATATCGAACTGTATGTTATTGATATATGTGAATTTGATAGTAAATGGTCAAGCATTGTTATTTACCTGTACCAATATGCATATATTAGCATAATGAATAAATGCATTAACATAATTATTTTCACTGACTTGATTTATTTATCCTTGATCTTAATGACTGTATACCTTAAAAAATGAAGATTGATAACCCTATACGTACATATTGTTGCTACTGGTAAACCCATGTCTTCCGGGGCACCTGTAACATATTTGGTGGTTTTAGCATAAGTGGCATTCCAATTAAGAAAACGAAAGTAGTAAACATATTAAAGCCTATCTACTATCTATTAAGCCAGTCTGGTGTAGGCTGGTAAAAAATAAATGGGCATAAGGTTTTGAACCAATAATGGTAGCAGCCTATTTGAGATGAAGAAACGATAATTTGTGTGTTATCTTAACCAAATAATCATTATATGTACCGTATTTATCCTTTCCAATAAATACTGACTGAATAGCAAACAGTACAGATCATAGTCAAACAGCACAGATGGTTGGCACTGGCTACATGCTACCAGCAGGTGGAAGAAAGATCTGACCTTAGTTGACTCTAAAAATCTGGATAAAGTGATCCCTTGGAAGCATTAATCACAACAAAATTACATAAAAATTGAAGATTCTGTTTTATTGAGTCTTTACATGAAGGATAATGAAAACGTGCAACATCCCTTACTCCCCCTAGAGTGGTACTTAATTTATATGTTCAATTTAAAGTAATGTAAAAAGAGTCCTGGTAATTGTTCTCCACAAGTGAAAAGGAGGAGACTCCATATCACTGTCACAACCCAAGACAGTCATAGAGATCAATCTCTCTCTAGTTTTAAGTAACAATATACCAGATTACCTGAGTTCCCTAAATTCCGGGCTAAGCCCTTTCTAGTATTATGTAACAATATCCCAGATTATCTGATCAAGATCCTATTAAAATACCAATTTCTTTGATTTATTTTCTTTTGGCATGAAAACAGAGTATACAGTATATACTGTTTTTAGTGAATTAAACATTAAGTGTACTAACATAAACTTCAGCATGAGTAATCAAAATATTTTATAGGATTACTGTAATAAGATTTTTAGAAATTAATCGTCAGACTGCACCCACATTTTGTGTACTGTCCTGTGAAGATGAAAAACTTGATTAAAACCTACATTATTAAACCTCTTTGTGTTTAAAAGATAGGTAAAAATGATACCAAATTACTCTTTACAACATCAAACACTTCTGTTTAGCTTTCCCCGCCATGATATTTGTTGAAGTTTTATTAAAAGGTTGATTGGTCATAAATCAATTCAGATAAAGCTAAACTTAATCCCTTTCCTGCTGATTTTGTGCATTTTACTGTCTTTGTCCTGGGCTTAAAACTATAGCCAATTGAAATGGTCTATATAATGAATGTCTGGCAGAGTGCCAAGGATTACTGTTGCCGACTGTCTTGGCTCCATACTGATGGTAACCACTGCTAACCTTACACCCTAAATATCTTAAATTGACTTGTCCATTTTTCAAGCTGGATAAAACTATTCATCATTTTTAGGGAAATTTTCAAAATATTAGAACTGACTGAATAGCGAACAGTGCAGACCATGATCAGATGTCATGGCTTCAAAATCACCTGAAACATTAACTATGAAGACAGAGCAAAGACAGAGTCTACTCAGTGTTTGTTAAAGCAGTAAACATATTAAGACATTTATTAAGATATATGTATATCAACTGTGAAAAATGTTTGTTTGGATGGAGCTACATAAATCTTAATTCATTTGGTTGTTTTGTTTAATGAAATGTAACATAGATTACATCAGTATTGTTGACAAGGTAATTGCTCATGGCTAGTCGGCATTATATTGAGAGTACATAATGCAACACTAGCATATAGCTTAATGGGCCTAAACAACAAGTTATGCCAGTGTTGCAATGAAATTTCACTTTTTGACTAAAGCTGGGAAGTTGTTCAGACAATGTTAAATTATTATAAATCTTAATGTGATACCAGACATTAAAACCAAGATGTCTCCAGGGGTATCACATTTGTTTAAACAAAGACATAGTTGTGATTTAAGACACATTGACACTGTAAAGGTTATATGAGGAAGATTATTGCACTAATTAACTTAGTTTATACAAATTTATAGAAGCTATAAGCTTATTGAAACACTCTCGAATCTGTTCCTGGAACTAACCAGTACTATTTTTTAGCAATAAGTGTAAAGTTTCTTCCTCAAGGTTAACAAAAGCTTGCCCCACACGGCCAACAAGCCTTAGATTACAAGTCTGACGTGTTAACCAATTGGTCATGCACTTCCTTGCTTGAGTCTCTTTAATACATGAAAGCATCCAAAGTTCTTGATGGGATTCGAACCCAAAACAGTACAAGTATGACTCTTTTGTTTACAATCATTTCTGCATATTTTTTGCCAGAAATTATTTTTGAATCTTGTCTTGACAATCATGCAGACAATCATATTTATTTCAAGAAATTTCAAGAAATTATATTAATCAACTAAAAGAACTGGTGCCTTTTTCTCATAAGTTTAGTGTATATGGTAAAGCTTTCATTGCTGTTAAATTTTGAATCCAGCTTGAATCCCAAAAACGTATTGAGCAATAACACTTATAGTATAGTTTGCTGTCTGTCCGTGTGTAACAAAAAAGCAACTTTTAAAATGTACAGCATCCTCAGACAGTAATGCTATATACTACATGTGTATATATAACACAAATTTGAAAGTTCAGGAATACTGTCATCAGATATGATGTGTCTTTATTTTTTGTTGTTTATTTTGAACTCCAAACCGATTGCTTTATAGTTTGCACAATTATGCGCTAAAGAAAAGCTATATTTTCTAAGTATGTACAGACGGTCTAAATCTGTTATTGTAACAGAGAAAGAACATAAGCTCTGAATTCCAATCTATAACCATTTCAACAAGAAATATTGCGAGATAGATATGTATAAAACCTTTTTTAATCTAATGCATAGTCAACAAGTCTTCACTGGGTGTAATTCAAATTGTTATGCTATACTATAGGATATTTTATACTTTGAAGTATTTTTAAAATCCTAACAAGGAGATTTAGATAGAGAAATGAGTGGGAGTGAGAAACACAGGCAGGATTATTGGAGATTTATTATTGAACAACCTAAATTTTCAATTAATAAGGGATTGGTACACAAGGGTTGTAACTCCAGTGAAATTAGGATTGAGGTGTTTCTGTATGTGCTCAATGCCAACATGTATTTTGTAGGTTGATGGATATCATTAATCAAATTTGTTATCTAACTGTGTGACTACTATCTGGTGGGTTGATGTTTACCATCTTGTCTTTGTTGAACATATATGGGATAAGGATTGGTCTTATGAGCAAACTTATCTTCCCTCTATGTTTACTTTGTGTAACAGGGGAGATAATTCTGACCGATCACAAACACAAAATGACATGCATGATAAATGGGCAGTTTTCAAATTCTATGAGATTTAATATGATTTAGCATATGATGCAGATTTACGTCATATATAGTTGGTAAAGATTAATTTGGTTGCATCGGGCAGTCAAGCTTGAAAAATAGGTGTGATAATGAAGAATTGCAAAACAGAAAACTTGACAAATTGAAGCATGACATGGTGGTTTAGAAAGAAAGAACACATGCAAAAAATTGGTGTTTTATCCTAACAATTTATTAAGTGACACATTAAGATCCTGGGAATCAGATATTATCAAGATATACAGTGAAACCTCTGGATAGGAACAACCTTTGGGAGACAACTATTTTTATTGTGCTGAGAGGTGTTGGCTCTACACAGGTCAAATTCATTCTGAAGTTTTACCTTGAGAAAAAACGATACTATTGTTGTAAAGAGGTGATTGCTCTACAAACGGCTGTAAGGTATTAATTAATATGGCATGTACGGAGTATATTTTTTCATAGTCCTCTTCCAAGAATATTTGGAAGTTTTTAGTCCTTTTACAAAAATACAACACATTATATAAGTACAGTTTAAACCTGCCCAATACCACCTGTCAAAGGGGGATAAGATCAGATTTTTTTTTCGGTGACAGATTCTGACGTTGATATCTTAAAGTCATGGCCTTTTAAGAGATACGTAACAAAGTAACTAACTATTTGTGGTCTTTTTTGTACATGATACTATATTCTGTGACACTTTATTATACATCATACATGCACTTATTACTAGTATACAATTTGCAATCTGCAAAAGGTACTGCGCCCATGTCATAAGTTTGACAATAACCATGCACAATTTGAAACATAGATTATATGCAGAATAGGATTTCTCTTCAACATCATCTTAATATGCATGAACACACTATCATTTTCAATTAATAGGATGATTTATACTTATATATTTTACGTAATATTATCACATATTGGTAAAGATGGTGCCTCAACAGACGGTAGGATTTAGTTGTACAGCACTAATTAGAGATAAGATGTACAATTTTCAAAGCTATACAACACTTGCATTCAGACGGTAATTCTATACTGTAAGAATCTTCTGAGGTTTCCCCTGAAAAGGATCCCTTTACATTGATCCTTTACATACTTTACTCACTTAATACTTTTTTTCGCCATGAAGCTATGTGGCCGCCTACAAACTACCTCCCCTCCCCAAATTCATGTAATTAGAGAACAACTCAATACCGTGACATAATCATTTTCGGAATAATTTGGGATTCGAACACAACACAACTTTGGGTCTCCTGAAGAGTTTTTCAAAATCATTTTTACCCCATCTTACTACTATGTTTACCTTTTAGCCCTAATTGTTCTGGAATTTCATTCATTACATCCATTATCAGGAGATAATTTGCTTATCTGTTACTTGTCATTGTGGGAGGTCTATAAAAATCGGTACGACAAGATTTTCAAAATAGAACATGTCCTATCCCTTACATCTCGACTTAAGGTTTCCGAAATCAAGAAATAGTAGCCTTCACACATTAAGATTTGTCTGTACATCTTAGTTTTAATTGGTGTTGTACTTCAAAATCCTACCGTCTGTTGAGGCCTTGAAGGCCTGTGAATGTAGCTGAAAAGGATATAATAAAGCATGGTTAAGGGTAATTGAGAAAGACATATTTTAAGTTTGAATATCTCAGCTTGAAGGTCTGGTCACATGATATGTAAATTACTATGTCTTATATGGTTAGCTGCTGCCAAATGAGGTATATGCTAATGTTATAATTGAAGTTTGTATAGGAAACCTATCATTAGAAAGAATGTCATAATTTTGAACAACCTTGAGAGATATTTAAAGGAGGATAGTGATACAGCCATATTGCACTGCATTAATTTGACTTAGTCATCTTTTGCCAAAATAGGGGAGAGATAGGGCTTGCTAATTTCAGCTCGATAAAAATTGTAATACATTTGTTCAACATGATTATAAAGCACAATCTTGAAATGTGTCTTGTTGTGTCTGTTTTGCGCTCTTATTTTTCAGACGTCATTAAAATTGTCCTTGCATTGAAACACACTACGGAAAAAAATATACATTTGCATACATGGGGAACCATGATTGAAGCTGTCTTGTAAACAAAGAGAGATTTTTAATGTGTAAAGACTAAAAAGAATAAGAAGTTATAAAAAGTTAATACAATTTTACTGTTTGTTTTTTGCAGAAACTGTCAAGCAAGCACAAGATGTTACAACAAAGGTCCAACAATCAACCAAGACTGCAGTGTCACAGCCTGGTAGTCATGGCAACAAAGGAGAGGTCATCAGCAAAGGTCAAAGTTCATCAGCATCAGTTGGAAACCATAGTAACACTAATGATGATGGTGATGAATTGGTTGTTGATACAAGAGTCAAGTTCAGGGAATGGGATCCAGTAAGCTTTTCATTTAAGTTTACACATTTACTTGACAATACATATATTGGAATGTTAGAATGTTGGAACTTTTTCCTAGTATACATTAGGTCTTTCATAGCTCAAATGCATCTCTTAAAATGAATATGCATATAGGTTAAAATAAGACTTTGAGATGTAGAACAGTTGTCTAATTTAACTACTAAGTTATTATTATAAGAAAGAATGAAAGCTCTTAAGTATCTTTGAAATACATAAATACATTATACTAAAAGATACGTGTTTTCAAAGATAGCATAAATGTATTATAACAATTTTTTGAAAGAATAAAAGAACTTTTGTATATTTGATATATATACATAATAATAAATGATGTGTTTTCAAAAATACATGTGTAATAATAAAGTCTGTCTCGAAAAAATTATGATCTAGTCTTTTCATGTAAAAATATATTGCACCATTAAAACTAAAAAAAAAAAACTGTTAAACACAAAATCTATCTTTTCAGTCAAAACTGCTGGAAAAACTATATGAGGTGAAAATGATGCCAGATGTAAGTATATAAATTTAAAGATTGGTAATATTATATAATTTAAGTATAACTTTGTAGCATATGTATTGAACATTAACTTTTTTTGTGTCTCTGGACTTTCAAGCCTAATATACACCATTTCTTTCCTTTAAAACCAGAGTATTCTTCACTTTTGCGCTAAGTTAACCTGTAACACATGCCTGTCCACAATGTATTCCAGAATCATTTTAAGAAATACAATGTACTTTATACATATGATTAAATAAATAGCTATATTATGATGCATATATTTAGATATATTTAGATATTGTAACTTAATGCTGTTATTTAGTATATTATTATTATTTAATCTTCTCAACAGAATGTAGAGGATATTTCTCACAAGTTTATTGGAATGGAGGGCCTCATGGAGAAGTTACCTATGAACAAGAAGAAAGCAACCTTGCTTAAAACATGGAAGAGAAGGTTCTTCAAGGCCCAAGATGGTTGGCTACACTATTATGAGGTATGAAACAATAACATGTCAGAATAGGGAATTGTTTCTAAATTTGACAAGAATAATGGCATATTCATCAAGTATGGCAATCCTTTACAAAATATGGCAATTTTGCAATTGGAGTGATTATTGCAAAAGAATACAAGTTATAATGGCAATTCTTCAATAAGTATGTTAAATATTATCACAATTCTTTCACAAATACAGCAAGAATAAATGCAATTTTTCATTAAGTATGGTAAATATATTGCTTATCTATATCAATTATGGCAAATGTGGCAATTCTTCAATAAATATGGCAGATACGTGTACCAATCCTTTCATAAATGTGGCAAACATATGGCAAATTTCTAGTGAACATGTAAATAGCAAGTTTCTTTACTTTAAGCTATGAAATAAAATGTAAAACTAGCGTAATAAGGTACTAAATGTATGGCAATAGTTGTTTGATGTATTTTAAGCCTTTTTGGCAGTTAAAGCATGTCACAAAAATGTTTTGCTAATAAGAAGCAAAAGATGCTGTGAGTCTGTGACAATTATTGTTTGATATACATGATGATAATGTATATTCAATATACTTGTGCTGTCTGAAAATAAAGTATGGTATTGAATCCAAGTACTCTCAGGTAAATGCCTGTTGTAAAATTTCTTAAATATTGTCACAGACTGATGATGCTTAAGGATGTATTCAGGAGTTTTCATATAAACATATAGGCGAAATTTAAAATGTTCAATAGAATTTCTTTAAACTATATGTTCAATACCATACTTTATTTTCAGACAGCACATGTATATTGAATATGCATGTACATTATCATCATGATTACCAAACTATAATTGTCACAGACTCACAGCATCTGAAAACATCTTTAAATCAAAACAATCTATCTCTAGGAAGAACTTGCTGTAATTTGTACAAAAGCTGTTGATTCTCTTATATGAATTTGTACTGCTAACATTTCTGGAATTGTCCATTATCAGTTTTTGGAACGTAAAGGTGAACATTTTGTGTTGGTCAGCCAACAATATGGAGCCTGGTCAGATTGTACGGATGTGCATTCTGGCCAGGCTCTGTACTGGTGACAAAGGCTATTTACTTCTGTTCCTGCAGGGTAAAGGTTTAGGGTACAGTTTCTAGTTTTCAAGTTTTATAATCTATATAATGGTTTGAAATGACACATGATACTTTTCCTTTATTTGAATAAGATTGCTACAGTTTGTGTCTTAAATATGTAATGAATTTTATAAAGTGTTGTTTTGCCTGATTGCATGACGGAAGATTGTGTCGCATCTTTTATTGCCTATGTTTGCATGCCATTTGCATGACGGTTGTTTTTCATGCACTGAAATATTATATCTTAGTCATCTGATGAATATTCATAAAGACATTTCTTTTTATTTTATGCCAATTAAGCAAATGATGCGAATTAAGCTAATTATGCAAATTACATGTGAATAGAATTATATCACCAACAGGTTAACAGGAGCGTAAGTAATATTATGCAATGTATGATTATATGGAAATACTGACGGGTTATAAAATATCGTAGATTCTAGACACAACAACAACAACAACAACAGAAATTGCAGCTGTTTAGATAGACACTAAAAAAATCATTTGAAATTACTGACAAAGCATAAATTTAATCATTCTGAATTTAAAAAGAACTGTATGCATGATGGTATAAAAAAGATATAATATACATAGTCATCAATATAAAAGTAACGACATCGTACTTTATATACTAAAACATTATTATATGGGTATTGATGCATGCAATATTAAAATGTAACCCATTTTTAGGTTAATAGTCAATTATATCCCACTTAATTTTGTTCTGAACCAAGTAGACCACTGAACAATTTTGTATTTCATTACATGTTCCAAACTGATATTTATTGGTTATGTACTACAAAAAGTTATTATTTTGCTTTGGATACAGCTAGTACTGGCTAGAACTGGTGGTATGCTGTAGAATGAAAAGAAACTGTTGCTTAGCTCTAGGCTACAAACAAATCTAATTTGACAAAAATTTGACTCAACTACTAGTAATTGGATAGAATTTGACCATATTTAGCAGATAGATATTTTTTGCCCATTTATTTGTTCCTATCTGATTTGAAATATTGATAATTGACATTTTGATAATATTATATACTGAAGCAAAACAAAAGCTTTTATTAAGCTCAACCTGCTAAATATCTTATATGGACTTGTCGATTTTTAATTTGGAAGAAAAGAAGCATGCATTCATCATTTTTAGGGAAAATTCAAAAGAAAATGTACTGACTGTATAGCCAACAGTGCAGGCCATGATCAGTTTACACAAATGTGATGCCTGAACTAATGGTTTGTACTGGTGACATAAATAAAATTAGTTGCCTCTGGAAGGCAAAGGGGATAAATGTGACATATGTCTGAAATAGAACATACTCAGATATTTAAAAACCTCAACAAAAAAAACCCCAAAAAACCTAAAAACCATAATTACTAACACCTCAATACCTTCTTTCTTTTGCATGCATTGTAAGCACAATATAGTATTTTATTTTATTGCATATTATAAGACTGTTACATTCTGATATCTACATGATCTTGGTATATTATAATTGTAAATGTTGTATGCAGTTAAGTGACATTTTTATCCATTTTTCATTCATTTCATTATTACTTTATGGCATGAGTTACATATATATTTTTGTTTTAAATGCATGTCCTGTTAGTATAGGCAAAATTATATTGTTAAGAAAATCTGTATATGAACGGGTATGGTGCAGGATTATCATTCATTTATTTTGAAATACCCCACCCTTACACCACCCACATACCATTTGTTAAATACATGTTATAAAAAAATCAACAAAACATAAATTTGCACATTCTATTGAATAACATAATGCATTAAATTTTGTATTAGTTTTGTATTATAATTGTTTATGTCAAAAGTTTAAGGGTTTATGTCACCCATTTATTGTAAAAGAGATGAGCACCAAAACATTCTAGTTAAAGGTTTGTCATCCATTCAACTTTAAAGAGATACAAACAAAAGATGCTGATACCAAAAACCCCAGTGATGAGCTCATTAGAAAAAGTACATGTTACCAGTAAGTGCAAATAGGTAGTTTGTTGATTTTGACCAGTATCTTTCATCTTATATTATGATAATATATATGAGCCGCGTCACGACAAAACCAACATAATGCGTTTGCGACCAGCATGGATCCAGACCAGCCTGCGCATCCGCGCAGTCTGATCAGGATCCATGCTGTTCGCTTACAAACCCTATAACAAGTAGTGAAACTGATAGCGAACAGCATGGATCCTGATCAGACTGCACGGATGCGCAGGCTGGTCTGGATCCATGCTGGTCGCAAACCCATTAAGTTAGTTTTGTCAATTATATGTTTTTATATCTTACTATTTCAGTCTGGCAACAAGGATAAGCCCAGTGACAGTTTACAGTTGATGGGTGGTAAAGTGGAGGAGCTCGGACCACGTGTGCTGGGGGTAGATGACGGGGTAGGTTACCATGTCTGCTAGCACAGGATTCATTGAAATGCTCAATGCTGGCATAGCTTGTATTTCAAGCTCATTTATTTTTTGCAATGTTACATTTAGCTCTAAAATACAGTGTTTGAATGAAATCATTATTAATTATTAGAAACACTTCATATTTATTATTAATTTTGGTTCTTTACATATCAATTAAGACATAAGTGGTGGAATGGCCGAGTGGTTAAAGCGTCAGACAAGTAATCTAAGAATCATTATCCGCATGGGTTCAAACCCCATCAGGGCCAGACCGTTGTTTCCTTGAGCAAGAAACTACACTCATTGCTGAGTACAAGAGATCCCAATAAAATTTTGTTGCTTAATGGGAAACTGTTTTTAAAGTCATGTAAAAAAAAGAAATGGTTCTAAAATGTGGATCTGAAGTGATAAGAAGTACATGTACATATTTTCTTTTTCTCTCTCTCCCTCCATGTGGCGGCATGGCTGAGTGGTTAACCTTTTAGTCTAGGATTTCTGGCTGTTTAGGTTCAAAGCCTGTCAGGAGCAAGCCATTGTTTCCCGGAATTAAAAACATTACGCTTGTTGCTTAGTACTGGTTGATTCCAGGAACAGATTTGAGTGAGTGTGTAAGCTTTTATCTTCCTACACAATCAAAGTAAAAAGATTAATGATTAATTTCTGTATAAACTGATTTGTAATAACAACATTTTGTTCCCATGGGAATTGCCTCCTTTCCACAACAATGATATATTTTAACAGCAACCATGTTGAATTATTTTAAAATATTACTTTAAAAATCATCCCTGCTTTTCTACCTCATTAGCTAAGATATTGAACAGTTTGTCTTTCTTTGAAGTTAAAATGCAACACTGACATACCTCAATAGCTTTAAGGCAGTATGGGAAAAAAAACCTGAACTTGTTAATTGACGAGGAATTTGCACCTGATTGTGAGATGACGAGTTATATACATTTATAACTAATGTACTTCAGTATGTCTTTAATGTTAGAAAGTTATGTAATATCCATTAAAAACTAATAAATCAAAATTTACCTATAAGTTTGAGGGGAATGTAATGTGTAATATATGATAATCAAAATATAATTTAAAGAATATAATTAAATCTTGCCTTGAAAGAGGGAAAAATGTTTGTAATTTAAGTTTTAAGCCTTACTCAATGCAGGGGAGACAACTCAATTTATGAATTTATTACTGATATTTATATACACATTATAGCTCAGTGTTTCACAAGAAATTGTCAAAATTCTCTCATACATTGATATTTTAGGGAGCTGAAGGCACCAGATCATAAGCAATCACTTTTATAATTACATTGTATATTCTAATTGATTTCTTTCTTGTAAATTAGACAAATTTCTTTTATTTTTCAATATTTATGAATTGTAGCAGACTTTTTTAATGATTATAATAATACAAGATTGTGTTTACTGTAAGTTAAATACAAGATTGAAGATTGTCTGTACTAGCTTTTTCAGTCTATTGAGTTGCAATAACAGTGTTGCTTTTAGATTTACCAAGTTTTAAGTTAACTTGAATTTTCCTTTTTTTAGAGAGGAAAGTATTTAATGGTTCGAGTACCCACTGATCATGAGTATGGATCATGGAAGGTGGCACTAGAGTCTCAGACAGCTGATAATGTAAAAGCTACATATGTTAGACCTTCACCAGCATCCATACCTCATCCTAAAAAAGTAAGTTTTTGAAGTGATTCTCTACCTGTCCTCGCACTGCTGATGACATAGACATTTTATTTATATGATACTTGTGCTATTAATTCTAATATATATATAGAGGGTTAATTGCAAAACTGCAGTAACTAATGTGAAATAAAGAACTTACAACAGCCTTGTGATTACCTTTCGAGGAAAGGAAATGCCTACATTAGAGTGAAGTCGAACATTCATATTGATAAATAATATTTGAGAAGCAATTATTTTTAAGATGATTTTTTTTTTTAGTTGATAGGTGACTTTTCATGCCAGTATTGAGCTTTGTTACACTGCAAGAAATAAATGTAATTATGTTAGATAGAAGCTATGTAATTATAAAATCATGTGCTTTATTCATAATATTAAATAAGCCACTTGTTTTGAGAGAAGGGTACCTTTTTGAAATTTGAAAATTTGTTTAACATAGAGAATGATATTTATACTTTCAGAAAGTTGTAATTATAGATATAGGAAGTTGTGGTATCCGAGCAGGTATCCTGGGGGAGAGACGTAAGTTGAACCAAAATGTTGGATCCATTTCTATTTTTATTATACCACTGCTTTGTGATAGAGTTATAAGCCTTGCATAGACAAATTGTAAATGAAATGAAGATTTAAGCACTGTCACTATTGTAATGCTTAATTGTTAAGAATTTTATTTGGTATGCAAGTATTTAACATAAGAAGTAGAGATAGTTTCCAGATACATGTATACAGTTGAAATAAAACCACATCCTTATTTTAGGAACAGAACATTTAATTCTGTGATAGCCCTAAGAAAAAGTTGCTGTTTGATGTATTTTGACTTTTCTACACTTTTGTTTCACCAAACGATATATATATATACTCATATTTCATTTTTTTTTTCAGCGACACTGCCTCAGGTGTTTTTCCCTAGTATAGTTGCCATACACAATCAGACAGGAGAGATCATCGTCGGTGCTGATGCACTAAAACCTGATGTTAGAAAATCATCGAAAGTTTCTCAGCCAATACAGCCTACCAATAAAGTGGACAAGGTATGGTTCTATACTGCTGAGTTGTGCTTAAATTATTTGTTGTTTTTTGCATGATATACTAATGTTGGAAAATCTTTTTAACCTTTAACCTGCTGATGGCTATTGAAACCAGTGCAGACTTAAGATCATTTTGAATATTTGTGTTGTCTGATCATGGTCTGCACTGTTAAATATTCAGTCAGTACATTTCATATTTTTGAATTCTCCCATTAGATGTGAAATTCTCCCTAAAAATGTGAAAATCTCCCTAGAAATGTGAAATTCTCCCCAAAAAATGTGAAATTCTGCCGAAAAACTGTGAAATTCTCCCTAAAAATGTGAAAGTCTTCATAGAAGTGTGAAATTCTCCCTAAAAATGACTATTATGATTAGTCTTGTCTAGATTGAAAGATGAAAGGTCCATTGTTAGATATTTAAAGCAGGGTAAGGGTTAAAATGGTTCAATATGCATGTCAATGGTAATTTCACTTAAATATCAGTGACTTGTTATTTTGCTCAAGTCATACGTTGATCTGTTGCTAGCAATCTTAAAATTTTTAATTTTTGTCCACAATCGGGCTATTATAATTATAGATAAGGAGTAATTGGAAACCTTTAAAAGAAATCTGTAATTTTATTGATTTTATTTCTTTTTAACTTAGATCTAGCTATTTCTTATTCAGTACAATTTGATGCTTGTTTTGGAATTTGTGGTTTTATTAACAATATGCTTACATGATAAAAATTTAAACATTGTTTTGGAAGGCCTGGGATGATGATATTGGAATTTTACCTATCACTAAATGATTAGAAATTTTACCGGTACTATAGTGACCATTTCTTTTTTGGATTTTTCTGAACATCTGTATAGAAATAGTCAAGTTTAGAAGAGGAACAAACATTTGAGCCTCGCCATGACAAAACCAACATAATGGGTTTGCGACCAGCATGGATCCAGACCAGCCTGAGCATCCGCGCAGTCTGATCAGGATCCATGCTGTTCGCTATCAGTTTCTATACTTGTTAACAAACAGCATGGATCCAATATGGATCCATGCTGGTTGCAAACACATTGTGTTGGTTTTGTCATGGCGCGGCTCATTTCTTGATGCCTTTCATTTAATCAATTTAAACAAATAATGGTAAGTGGTGTATTGAGTATTTTTCCTAACTTAATACTGTTATTATACAATAATACTGCATGACTTTATTTATCCTCTATAACCTGTCAAAGGTCTTAATTGTCAATGGTCTTTATATAATGATTCTATAATAATAGAATATTATTTAATAAATCTTCATCATTTGTGTATATAGATAATATAATCATCATGATTATCCAATGAAAACTGATGTTACAAGCATGCAGTATTATAAATAATAATTATTGTCATAGCATGTTCATAATTCATCTTTCATAGCTTCATCTCTCATTATTCTAGGGTCGTGTACAACCAGTAAGTATTTAATCATTTCTGTTCCTATGACAACAATGATAAAACTGATATTTCCATAGCAACCAAATAAATGAACTCATATTCCCATTTTAAACCCTTTGTCCACAAACATTTTTCTTATCTTCTCAAGCTTTCCAAATATATTAGGATCCAAGTAATCTTGGACCTTAATTTTTGTCTTTTACATCATTAAATGCACAACTTTCCAATCAGATGCCAACAAAAATGATTTTGCCTGATACTATGATGTCAATCTTTCTGTGTTATTCACTTTGTTTGAAAATTTTGCTTTCTAGTATAGACTTGTTTTGTCACCTATGCTGGCTTAAAGAAAGTGTGCTTTGACAAAGTGCTTTCCAAAGGCATGTAGTAAATTAGAGAAGCATAGCAAAAACAACATTGCAAACAGGCTCAAATCAAGGTCTTATTTCAATGTCAATCTATTTACCAAAATATCTTAATTCTATCACAGTTTGCATGTGAGTCACCTAGTTCAGTGTAGTGCAAGTATGTCATGGGTTTGAACGTCAGAAATAATTTTGGTAGCCACATTTAGATGTCAAGTAGTTTACAAGAGATCATTAACCTAATGCAAAAGCTGTTTTAAATCACCAATGTTATAGTAGTTGTATTTACAAGTTTTTAAATTTGGTACCAGCAAAATCAAATCATATTAAGCAACATGATTTGATTATACTGGTACCAAATTTTTAAAAAAAAAAACCTGTTCAACTAGATTAAACACATGTCTTATGTCTCATTTGAGATGACAGCTCATCTTAATCATTCTCCAGTATGTCTCCTGGAACTACCAAGTACACATGCTGTATGATAAAACATGGTCATGACCCTGGTAGGGCTTGAACATACAATCTCTGGGTTGAGAGGCAGATACTTTCACAAACACTTTCCTATCCCTCACTTTTATTCATTTTGTCAAAGTTTAGCTGCACTTCTTATCCCATGACCTGAAAATATGTTTTAAAAACATACATTTTACCTACACCTAACTATACAAACATACATAAACCTAGATGTATACAAACACACGTTAAACTTAAACTTAAGACTGAAACAAAGAAGTGAATAGATTTCATCATCCATCTTTCATTCTCATTATAATCATCCTGTTTAATATTTGTATTTCTGTTCCAGCTTTATAGCCATTTTTCTTAACTGCTTTTAAATAGAATATTTTTTTTAGAAACAGTAACGAGCTTACAGCGACATATTGAAATTTTCAGATTTATAGCATTCTTACTTTAAAAAAGAAATTTAGTTCTTTTAATATCTTAACGGTATTGATGAAATATTTACTTTAATTTACTTTAGAAATGTTTTTCATGCAAAGATTTATATCCTAGTAAACACTGTTAATGTTATTGTTAAAAGTAATATCTGTTAAATATGAATATATTTAACTCTTTAAATGCTAGAAATGATAAATGTTTGTCTATACCAGCAGTATAAAACCATACCAGTCTGCACATCCATACCACCAGTATAAACCAAACCAGTTTAAGCATCTATGCATCTGGACTAGACTGTATTATACCAGTCTGTGCATCCATGCATCCTGACTAGACTGTATACTGTTGGCTGCTTGTTTGTAAAATTTCAATTTTTTCACATTAACAATGGACAGTTTGCAATTTAGAGTAGAGCAAGTATGTAATGCAAATTTAACTTAGTGAGCATGAAAAGAAATGAATAATGGATACATAAAAAGGGTAAAAGGAAATAAATGTAAAATATATGACAGAATATTTTGTATTTTTTAGTTCAACATTGATATGGCAGTGATGAAAGCAATTCTGGAGAAAGTGTTCAAAGATCTTGGTATCAACCAGTCACAATATCTTGTAAGTACTAGTACATGTATATACTTCCTATCGATAAGTTATTTTATTCTACAATTCACTCATGCTGCTCATAAAAAGAAAAGATTGGTAGATAATGTCATAGTTGCACTCTTTTCTTACCTTGTGATGTTCATTAGATACCATATGTTACAGGGTGCGAAAAAATTTCAGCCTTTTTGGAACTTGAACCCAGGACCGTTGGAAAACCTTTCCATAGCAACTGAGCTACCTGGCTTATTGCATATTTTTTCCCCAATTTGAAGAATGTACATTTGGCTCTTTGCTTATATTAGACACTATTGCCTATATAACTGAAACACCTTTGATAAAAGCTATTAAATCTGACACATACGCAAGACATTTCTATGCTCTATGTTCTTTTTGAATCAAGACTAGCTAAAAAGTTAATAAGTAACATAATGGTTGATTTTGTTTATAGGTAATGATGAGTACTCCACAGAATCTAGGTGACAAGTTACGTGAAGGGTTAATGCGTATACTTGTGGATCAGATGCATGTACAGGGGGTGTGTATGGTACAACAGTCACTACTGGCTCTCTACTCGTATAACGCAATGTCCGGTATTATTGTTGATATAGGAGAACGACTGGAAATATTGCCTATATATGATGGTAAATGTCATGCTATTCAAAAAAATGAAAAAAGAGCCTGAGATTAATTGTTTAGGTTTTGTTTTGATTAAGTTTCTAACAAAGCAGCCTGCAACATTCATCCTGAGGCAGTAAAATAAATCATCAATGAGCACTGACATGAAATACTGACTATTCAACACAGTTGTCATACTGGTGGTTTATACTTAAAGTTGGTCTCCATTTGGTTTAAATTAAAAAATATTATACCTCAAGAAAGACAAATTCTTTAATATGAAAAAGATATCTTTTTGGTTCTGCTTTTAAGCTCCTTTCAGATGTATGCATCAGTAAACCTAAATCTTAAAAGTTGCCATGTTATCAATTAAGATGAAATAATTGTTTGTAGTGCCCTTTGCACAAGGTAGACTTTATTTCCTATATTGTTAATTTTTGCTGTCCTTTTACGTAGGTTTGCTGATAGAAGGTGGTGTATCAAGACAGGCCTATGGTGGTACAAAGATTCAGGATTCATTGAATATATCATTGTTAGAGAATAAATACCAGTTTTGTTCATTTGTTGAGAAACTTCTTGTTCGCTATATATGTGAACAGGTATGTTTATTAGACTATGTATAAGTAATTTATATTATTTCAGATTTAGAGAAAAAATTAACTTGATAAAAATGTTTTCTGAAAAAGGAATTTACTAAAAAATGCAGATTACCGTACAATGTGCTAATCTTTGTATATATATCAAATTAATCTATGCACAGCTTTTAATTATGATTTTACAGCTGTTAGTTAGATTTCTTTTAGGAAATTAAGAAAATCAATAAGGCTAGCTTATGGAAGTCGGTGTTCTGTCTCAGTATTTACTTATGCCGGAACATTATGCACAAAGTAGCAGGTAGACTCTTACTCCACCATTAAACATGGGCAGCCAACATCTGTGTTGGTGTATAGCTTGTAAGTCCAACCAAAGAAAAAAGTGTCAGTCATGAATCAAATAATCAATAGTAAAGAATCTGTCTTATATATCTATAAGAAATTTGCTTGCATTTGCAGCATTCAACAAAATTTCTAACACGAAAAAGTTCCAGACAGTTGATTTAGATTATTTTTATTTACAGGCATGCTATGTAACAAGTAACTATGAAGAAACTAAGAAGAAATGTGATTCTGATTCTGACAATGCTGAAAAAATAACAAATCAGAAAAAAAAAAAATGTGATTAAAAAAAGAAAAAAAGCTATAAAAAATTAGAAAATTAAATATAAAAAAATAAAAAATTAAAAAAAAAAAAATCGACTGACAGATAAAAATATTATGCAAAAGTAAAGTAACGGGGTTGTTGATTGTTGAATTGCCGAGTTTGAACTACCAGAGGGGGCTTATCAGTAAGTTGTCTTTTACATACATTACTTTAATGATAGTGTTTTTGTTTTGAATTTTATTCAATACGCTAATTTTAAGAACTTGTTTTGCTAATGGTAAATAAGTATAATTGTTGTAGATCTGATGTTAAATAGTGTAAATATGTAAAATGGTAATCCATAGATGTAGATAATGATTTGTTAACATGAGAGATGAAGGTGTTATTTTTTGCTCACCTGACCACGATGTGGTCAAGGTGAGGTATAGTGATGGAGCTATGTCCGGCGTCCATCGTCGTGCATCGTTCGTCGTCAACAATTGGGTTGTTAACAGTCTAGTAGTCACAGTTTTGATTGGATCATTGTCAAACTTTGTCAGAATGTTTGTCTCAATGAAATACAGATCGAGTTTGAAGATGGGTCATCTCTGGTCAAAAACTAGGTCACAGAAGCTAAAAATAGAAAAAGGTTGTTAACACTCTACTGGCTGCAGTTTTGATCCAAATATTCTTGAAATTTGTCAGGAAGGTTGTTTAAATGATTTCTAGGTCAAGTTCGAAGATGGGTCATCTCCGGTCAAAAACTAGGTCACAGGAGCTAAAAATAGAAAAAGCTTAACACTCTAGTGGCTGCAGTTTTGATCCAAATATTCAGAAAATTTGTCAGGAAGGTTGTTTTAATGATTTCTAGGTCAAGTTCGAAGATGGGTTGTCTCTGATCCAAATATTCTGGAAATTTATCAGGAAGGTTGTTTTGATGATTTCCAGGTCAAGTTCGAAGATGGGTCATCTCTGGTCAAAAGCTAGGTCACAGGAGCTAAAAATAGAAAAAGTTTGTTTACACTCTAGTGGCTGCAGTTTTGATCCAAATATCCTGGAAATTTGTCAGAAAGATTGTTTTGATAATATCTAGGTCAGATTTGAAGATGGGTCGTCTCCGGTCAAAAACTAGGTCACAGGAGCTAAAAATAGAAAAAGCTTGTTAACACTCTACTGGCTGCAGTTTTGATCCAAATATTCTGGAAATTTGTCAGGAAGGTTGTTTTGATGATTTCTAGATCAAGTTTAAAGATGGGTCATCTCCGGTCAAAAAGCTAGGTCACTGGAGCTAAAAATAGAAAAAGCTTGTTAATACTCTACTGGCTGCAGTTTTGATCCAAATATTCTGGAAATTTATCAGGAAGGTTGTTTTGATGATTTCCAGGTCAAGTTCGAAGATGGGTCATCTCTGGTCAAAAGCTAGGTCACAGGAGCTAAAAATAGAAAAAGTTTGTTAACACTCTAGTGGCTGCAGTTTTGATCCAAATATCCTGGAAATTTCTCAGAAAGGTTGTTTTGATAATTTCTAGGTCAAATTTGAAGATGGGTTATCTCCGGTCAAAAACTAGGTCACAGGAGCTAAAAAAATAGAAAAAGCTTGTTAACACTCTAGTGGCTGCAGTTTTGATTCAAATGTTCTGGAAATTTGTCAGAAAGGTTGTTTTGATGATTTCTAGGTCAAGTTTGAATATGGGTCGTCTCCAGTCAAAAATTAGGTCACATTGCCCAAATATGGAAAACCTTTTTAAAGCTGCATGCCTCCAGATGAGCGAAAATATTTCAATAAAAACAAATTTGAGAAAAATGTACTAAGATTTTAGGAAAAGTAAAAATGCTCAAGATTCAAGTAATAATTTACATGTTATGTGCAATTAATGACTGATTTTTCAGTATGATTTCTAGATCAAGTTAAAAGATAGGTCATTTACGGTCAAAAACTAGGTCACAGGAGCTAAAAATAGATAAAGCTTGTTAACACTCTACTGGCTGCAGTTTTGATTCAAATGTTCTGGAAATTTGTCAGAAAGGTTGTTTTGATGATTTCTAGGTCAAGTTTGAAGATGGGTCATATCCCGTCAAAAACTAGGTCACAGGAGCTAAAAATAGAAAAAGCTTGTGAACACTCTAGTGGCTGCAGTTTTGATACAAATATTCTGGAAATTTGTCAGGAAGGTTGTTTTGATGATTTCTAGGTCAAGTTCGAAGATAGGTCATCTCAGGTAAAAAACTAGGTCACAGGAGCTAAAAATAGAAAAAAGCTTGTTAACACTCTAGTGGCTGCAGTTTTGATCCAAATATTCTTGAAATTTGTCAGGAAGGTTGTTTTGATGATTTCTAGGTCAAGTTCGAAGATGGGTTATCTCCGGTCAAAAACTAGGTCACAGGAGCTAAAAATAGAAAAATCTTTATAACACTCTAGTGGCTCCAGTTTTGATCCAAATATTCTGGAAATTTGTCAGAAAGGTTCTTTTGATGATTTCTAGGTCAAGTTTGAATATGGGTCGTCTCCAGTCAAAAATTAGGTCACATTGCCCAAATATGGAAAACCCTTTTAAAGCTGCATGCCTCCAGATGAGCGAAAATATTTCAATAAAAACAAATTTGAGAAAAATGTACTAAGATTTTAGGAAAAGTAAAAATGCTCAAGATTCAAGTAATAATTTACATGTTATGTGCAATTAATGACTGATTTTTCAGTATTTATAATTATATTTCTTCTGCGTTAGTAACGCAGTAAGGGCAATTTTTGCAGATTTTCTCCTCTTTTTCATAATTTACGTGGGCTGTAAGTGCCATTGATAATTTGCAAATTGCTCCCTTTTGGTTATTTCACTAAATATACTTTTAAACACATTTTCAAAATTTTCATGAAAGTTAGCATGAATCTGGAGGCGTGTTGCTTTAACACACTAGAGGTCACATTTTTGACTCAATTGTCATCAAACTTGGCCAAGATGCTTGTCTAAGACATTGCTTGGATGCAGTTGATGGGTCAGGGGAGCGATCCAGGGCCATCATGGCCCTCTTGTTTTATATCATACATGCCATAATGTCCCGGATGTCCTGGAAAGTCCCGGAAATAAGGTGTCTGCCCCGGAGGTGTCCCGGAGATGTTTTATGTCCCAGTAAAAAAAAAAATCTAAAATAATCTACATTAAAGCAAGAAATTTTACATTTTTATATAATTTTATTGTCAAGTTTTTATAAACAAGTCTAGTACGCTAATAACGAACAATTATCCCCTTACAACATTGCAATGGTGACACTAATCCTTTGAATAGTATATCTATGTACCCCTTCCACAAACAATTATCGGCAATAATTTTTATTTACCCCCTGGGGCTTCCTGAGGGAAGGTGTGGTAGACTGTAATTAACAACTGGCCAGTATAAATTTAATCCGCCTGCAGGCAGTTTATTAGTGGTCAAACACCGTGAAAATTACCGCCAAATATGAGGTGATGAAATCTACAAGATTCAGCGAATGTTTCAGGTAAACAACATGGCTAATTGTCCTTACTCAACATAGCTTTATTCTATTCTGTGACTGATTGAATTTACGATGCCTTAATACTTAAAAAAGATAGAAAAACTGATAATAATTATTGACATTTTGTCTTTTGTTTTATGGTGTCATTAAATTTGCAAGTTGTAAATACTGGTAATATAGGCTGTATGCCACTATGTAAATTAAAAAAAAAAATACATTTGCTGATCAATGACCCACCTCCAAATGAAAAGTGTCCCGGAAATGAGTCTAAATATTATGGCATGTATGTGTATATACATTCCAGTATGTTTTAATGAAATAAAATGAAATACATTTTTTTTCAGAAATGTGAAATTGGACTATGGCTGCTTTAAGAGTCCAGAAGGATTTTTCAATACAGACCTGTGGGAGATGGATTATAAGAATATACAAAAACAGATTTATGCTGCAATACAGCAGTGCCCTATGGACTCTAGGAAACAAATGTATAGGTAAGACTACTAAATAACTGCACCAAGTGGAATCAAAGAAATACATGTATAGGTAAAACTGCTAGATAACTGTGCCCTAAGGACTCAAAGAAATACATGTATAGGTAAGACTGCTAGATAACTATGCCCTAATGACTTAAAGAAATACATGTGCCCTATGGACTCAAAGAAATACATGTATAGGTAAGACTGCTAGATAACTGTGCCCTTAGGACTCAAAGAAATACATGTATAGGTAAGACTGCTAGATAACTGTGCCCTAAGGACTCAAAGAAATTTCATGTAAAGGTAAGACTGCTATATAACTGCGCCCTATGGAATCAAAGAAATACATGTATAGGTAAGACTGCTAGATAACTGTGCCCTATGGACTCAAAGAAATACATGTATAGGTAAGACTGCTAGATAACTGTACCCTTATGACTCAAAGAAATACATGTATAGGTAAGACTGCGAGATAACTGTGCCCTAAGGACTCAAAGAAATACATGTATAGGTAAGACTGCTATATAACTGCACCCTATGGACTCAAAGAAATACATGTATAGGTAAGACTGCTAGATAACTGTACCCTTATGACTCAAAGAAATACATGTATAGGTAAGACTGCTAGATAACTGTGCCCTAATGACTTAAAGAAATACATGTATAGGTAAGACTGCTGGATAACTGTGCCCTATGGACTCAAAGAAATACATGTATAGGTTAGACTGCTAGATAACTGTGCCCTTAGGACTCAAAGAAATACATGTATAGGTAAGACTGCTAGATAACTGTGCCCTAAGGACTCAAAGAAATTTCACCCTAAGGACTCAAAGAAATTTCATGTAAAGGTAAGACTGCTATATAACTGCGCCCTATGGAATCAAAGAAATACATGTATAGGTAAGACTGCTAGATAACTGTGCCCTATGGACTCAAAGAAATACATGTATAGGTAAAACTGCTAGATAACTGTGCCCTAAGGACTCAAAGAAATACATGTATAGGTAAGACTGCTAGATAACTATGCCCTAATGACTTAAAGAAATACATGTGCCCTATGGACTCAAAGAAATACATGTATAGGTAAGACTGCTAGATAACTGTGCCCTTAGGACTCAAAGAAATACATGTATAGGTAAGACTGCTAGATAACTGTGCCCTAAGGACTCAAAGAAATTTCATGTAAAGGTAAGACTGCTATATAACTGCGCCCTATGGAATCAAAGAAATACATGTATAGGTAAGACTGCTAGATAACTGTGCCCTATGGACTCAAAGAAATGCATGTATAGGTAAGACTGCTAGATAACTGTGCCCTTATGACTCAAAGAAATACATGTATAGGTAAGACTGCGAGATAACTGTGCCCTAAGGACTCAAAGAAATTAACATGTATAGGTAAGACTGCTATATAACTGCACCCTATGGACTCAAAGAAATACATGTATAGGTAAGACTGCTAGATAACTGTACCCTTATGACTCAAAGAAATACATGTATAGGTAAGACTGCTAGATAACTGTGCCCTAATGACTTAAAGAAATACATGTATTGGTAAGACTGCTAAATAAATGCGCCAAGTGGAATCAAAGAATTACATGTATAGGTTTGACTGCTAGATTACTGTGCCCATGGACTCAAAGAAATACATGTATAGGTAAGACTGCTAGATAACTGTGCCCTAAGGACTCAAAGAAATTTCACCCTAAAGGACTCAAAGAAATTTCATGTAAAGGTAAGACTGCTATATAACTGCGCCCTATGGAATCAAAGAAATACATGTATAGGTAAGACTGCTAAATAACTGTGCCCTATGGACTCAAAGAAATGCATGTTTAGGTAAGATTGCTAGATTACTGTGCACTATGGCCTCAAATAAATACAGGTATAGGTAAGACTGCTAGATAGCTGTGCCCTATGGACTAAAAGAAATACATGTATAGGTTTGACTGCTAGACCACTGTGCCCTATGGACTCAAAGAAATACATGTATAGGTAAGACTGCTAGATTACTGTGCCCTATGGACTCAAAGAAATACATGTATAGGTTTGACTTCTAGATTACTGTGCCCTATGGACTTAAAGAAATACATGTATAGGTTTGACTGCTAGTTTACTGTGCCAGAGAAATTAATGTATAGGTAAGACTGCTAGATTACTGTGCCCTATGGACTAAAGGTAAGACTGCTAGATGATAAATGTACCCTATGGACACAAATGTATAGAAAAGACTGCAAAATAACTGTGCCCTGTAGACACAAGGTAATTACTGTTTCATTAAGACTGCTCCATGGGAGTGCCCTTTGGACTTGAAGGAAACAAGTATGAGAAAAACTGCAATACAAATTTCCCTATGGACTCTTTATAAAGCAATTATATAGGTAAGACTGCTATATAAATGTTCCATGGCCTCTAGGAAGAAAAGTTCTTGCATATCACTATAATGTGACTGCAGTTTCTGTTGGTTTCACCAATGCTAGAAATAGTATCTGGCATGGAGGGTGCCATATGAGTTACATGTTCCAAAATGACATCATTTTGTTAGGTATGCTTGTTTTCAAGGAAATTCAAATGGGAACAAATGAAATATGATGAAAAAATTGAATTGCTTTTAGATTAATTTAAGGCCTTATATAATTTGTTTTAAACTAGATGTGTATAAAACACAATAAATGTATTTCAGATCAATATACTTGAGTGGTGGGGTAACAACAATTCCAGGATTTGCAGAACGTTTACAAGAAGAAATGAGAAAATTGGCGCCACCAGCAGCCGTAGTTGAGGTAAGGAATTTAATCCATTTATATCAAAATAATTATAAAACATTCAAAGTTCTTTGTAATTGCTTCAAAATTCAAAATTCTTGAAATGTTATTCATTTTACAGGTTGATATTCATGAAATTCATACCTCAAGGTTATTTTTTAAAAGCAATATAGAATAATAAATAAATGACAACTAAAAGTAAAGTAGCATGATAAATTGCTTTAGGCCTCTCTGTATTTTGAAAGAAATGTGTTTTGCCTCAAAATGTTTTGAAAGTTTGACTGCCAATGACTTTACACTTACAGTGTTTGTAAAAGTCTGTTTTGCTAGAGTCAACTCGAAGGCTCATTTTAACAATTTTTTCCTCTGTTAGAATAACGATTTACTTTTATTTTGTTATTTCTTGTTAGCTTTATTATCAGATGTATTTGCTGTTTTCATATTATTATTTTCTTTCTTTCCTTCGTCAGGTTCATGCATCACCACAACGGTACCACTCGGCATATATTGGAGCCTGCGCTGTCGCCTCGATGGATGTGTTTGAAATGAGCTGTGTCTCTGCTGATGAATGGAAGAAAATGGGGGTGAAAGCTTGCAAGAAATGGGGAACTGGTTGATCATGTGACTTTGGAATTTGTTGTTACTATATATAGATTCATTGACAAAAAAAAAACCTCAGATATGTACAGGCGGACAGATACGTAAAATATTCCTCTCAACAGAAGTATAGATGTATTATGATAATACAGTCATTAGTGGATTCTATAGAATCTGTATACTTACACCATTTCAGGCATCCTGTATACACCATTTCAGGCATACTGTATACACCATTTCAGGCATCCTGTATACACCATTTCAGGCATCCTGTATACACCATTTCAGGCATCCTGTATACACCATTTCAGGCATCCTGTATCTATTTGGAAAGCAGATAATAGACAAGGTTATTTTGTTGCTCCGGGTCATACTGAAGCTTATTAGATGCATATAAGACATGGAAAGTGGTAAACTATGTTGGATATTTTGAGCTTAACACCAGCTAAAAGATGCTTGAGAGATAGCTTTTGCTTCAGTGTTCAAATGTTCACTCAGAAGTTTCTAGAATAGTACATAAAGTTTAGGATTCAGTTTTAATGATACGGGCATTCACTTGAAGTTTTACTTTATTAACATTCCCATCATGTAATTAACTCTAAAGGTTGTGGCAATATTAAAACATTCATTTATTTGGCTTGATTATTTTTTAAAATATTAACATAGGTTTCCTACTATTGTCATATATTGCCAATGCTGGCATTTTTCTTCTGTATTTAGTTGCTTGCTCTTGGAGGTTGTATTGCCTTATGGGTAATAAATGTTAATGAAAGTGCCAAATTTAGACATAAGTTTGTTCTCCACCATTTTCTTTGTTTAATTATAAAACTTGATTTATTACATGAATGTTGTAATACAAGAATTGGTAACAAAAGAATTGTTAACCAACCATTGCTAATAAAGAAATATAGCCAGGTTAAATATACATTATATATCCATATTATGTGTATAGATTTAAATTGTCATGTATAAATGGGTAGAAAAGAGGTAGATTGCTTCTTGTTGCTAATATGATAATGGACAAGAAAAAGTAGAAAATCATTCACCTAATTATTTCATTTTACTTTCAAGAAAATTGCAAAACCTGCTTATTTCTTTGTATAATGACTTTGAAAAAATAAACACAACTAATTGTTTTGTAAATTTAATTGGCTTTTGTTTGTTGATTGATTGTTTACTAGATTGAAATATTCTTTACCAATACTGAGATATCATTACATAACTTACATTCCAGAATATTATAACTTTCATTATGCATACAATCATGTATATATTTATATGTATTTTATGCTGATAGCTTTACACATATGTATGTATATTTCTGTGATAGATAACACATTTATTTATATTTGGAACTTTGCATATGTTTTTTTTTTACATATATTCCACTTGCATTCCTTCCAGAAAGGTGTTGTAGTTTTGACAATTCTTTAAGAATTCATTCAGCAATAGGTTTGTTGTTGTTGTGATTATAGTTTGAATATATGTTGGTATATGTCAGTTTGTACTTTTTACATGATTTTTCTTTTCTATGCTATAGTAAGCATAAAGCTAAAAGAAATAAAAAATATTCTTGAATATTTTGGTTTAGCTCCGGTTTCACAGTCAAAGTTAGGGCAATAACCTTACCAATGGGGCCTAGATTTTATATCTATTCATACCTTTGTTTACACAATTACACAACTGAATGATAATTTTCTCACTTAACTCGATCAGTCTCTGTGGAGAAAATTTGTTTGACATAAACCATATAGTCATGGCAAAACAATTGCATTGTCTTCTACTTGAGCATGGAAATTCAAGAAAGCTACAGAGTTGACATGGACTGGCTGAGATATTCTACTGGGGGTGGGCTGATATTTTACTGGTGGCAGGCTGATATTTAATTGGGGCCTGGATTATATTCTGTTGAGGGCAGGCTGATATTGAACTGGGGCTGGGATCATATTCTACTGGTAGCAGGCTGATATTTAACTGGTATTGGGATGATATTTTACTGGGGGCAGTTTGATATTTAACTTGGGCTGGCTGATATTAAACTGGGGGTTGGATGTTATTTAACTTGGGCGGGATGATATTTAACTGAAGATTGTTTAATGATAAAGAAATACTTAAGATCTCTTTATACCTTACCTGGACCACAATAAAACATTCGGTTTATATTTGTTTTAGATTTTATTTAGGTAAACGATTTATGAAATATCATGCATTCCATATCATAGATCTGTTATTTTATTGTAATATACATGATTGCATATCAGATATACTGGATGTTAAATGTTGTGGAATTATGTTGTGATTTAGAAAGTAAAAGGTCTTATATTTATAAGTCTTATCATTTTATTTGAATAAAACATAGTACAGTTTTGTTTAAAATTGGCAAGTGACTCTTATTTTAAAATTAATACAATCAAACAATTCACTTAAACATAACTATTAAGACTGCTGTTTAAAAGAAATATATAGTGTTTTTTCTAAATAGGTAGCTTTGTTCACAGGTTGAATTTCATTGCTTTTTTTCACATGTTAAAAAAAAGCATAATTTTAACAATTATGCTGAACTTTTAAATAAAGTCATGGTTGTAATAGACAGGGGATCTCTGTTCACAGGTGTTCCTAGTGACAATTTTCATAGTACATGTATTTCCAAGTATCAGATCATTCCCATCATTATAATTATCATAAACTATTTTTTAAATTTCTTTGAACCTTTAAATTTCTTGTTCAAAGGTAATTATGTTGTGATTTTAAAACATGCCATAATAAACTTGTTTCATATCTGTTTGATTTTCAGTAAGATATTACATTTTTATGATGTGCATAATGTTTATAGTTCTTGCCATGAAATATTTCCAGGTTGTGAAGTAGCATATTATTGAATTTTTCAATTATCATATTTTCGTATAATATAATATGACCTTTGTGCAGTAACAGGTTAACTCCTAATGTATTATATAAGCAGTTAACCTATTACTTCGCTAAGGTGGTGATAATGTATACAGTTTACATTCCTAACATATTGAAATAAATCAAGACATATCATTATTTGGAGGAAAATAACAAAGATATGAGCCGCGTCACGACAAAACCAACATAATGGGTTTGCAACCAGCATAGATCCAGACCAGCCTGTGCATTCGCACAGTCTGATCAGGATCCATGCTGTTCGCATACCAACTCTATTACAAGTAAAGAAACTGATAGCAAACAGCATGGATCCAGACCAGCCTGCGTATCCGCGCAGTCTGATCAGGATCCATGCTGGTCGCAAACGCACTATGTTGTTTTTGTCATGGTGCGGCTCATATGTTGTTTCTTTCTAATATTAAAGTGTTGTGAAAGTTCAGTGTAATCAGTATGATTATAACGTAATGCTGTTGTTTTTTATGTGACAATTTTTCAACATCTCTTAGTTTAGCTTTAGCTTGCAGCATAATTGAATGTTTAAAACTCAAAAGTTAGATTCCTTTAAATTAAGATATTATGAATACATTTCAGACAGGCTTTACCTAGATGTTGCCGACCAATGCTTGGCTCCTGCATGTTATAAACCAAAGTGTAAATTTCTTGTTATGACTGACTTGACTTGTTATTTTTGTTCATGACTGGTTTTATGGTATTTGGTGGTATTTTGTGTTGGTCTTCTTAATGTCTGGATACAGTAATGTTACTGGCATTGGAAGATGAAGTTCCATTAATCAATTTTGCTTGAAATGTAAACTAATTTGTATTTTTTAACTGTGGACTTACAACACTAGTGAAGAACAACAACAAAAACAATAATGTCTAATGCAACTTTTACAATGTACTTCTATTATGTTTCAATGATTATGACACAGGAAGCTTGTAAATATATAAACTATTAAGTATTACTTTATGCTGTTAACGAAAGAAAAAAACTCAAGTATCTGTATATGAACTGTTGTAAAATTTGCCATAATTTTCAATTTCAAGTTTTGTTTGTATAAATCTTTTTTCATAATAATTTTTTATTATCCCAACTTTTAGTAATAAAATGCTGCTTTGAAGAACTTCATGTAGAGCATACCTGCCCAGTTTTTGAGCTATGCATTAGTTTGTGGTATATGCAATGTTCTATTGTCAGCAATAATTGTTTTTGAAGATTTAGCTTTAGTTAGTGAAAGAAACTTTTTATTGTTTCTGGGGCCTATAATTGTTGTTAAATACTTGTATTTTAGTTTGCATCATGTAAATTAACCATGTTAATATATAATAAAAAATAGAAACAGGTTTCATGTGTAATGTTTTTGTCTTACAATCACATCTTTATATTATTTTATGCCCCCCCCCCCCCCAAAGGGAGAGCATATATTCCCAACCTTGTCCATCAGACTAGTAAATCAAAGCACAGAAGGCGCTGAATTTGTTTGGGTCTCAGAATGTCAAAAAGGTGAAGGTTGTGAGATTTTAAACCAATTTGTTTTTGTATAGTGGCGGCGTGTGCCACCAGTTAAGTGCTTTCCAGCGTTTTAATTGTAGTTAATTGGCTTTAAGACTAATTGCAACACTAATATTCAATTCAATGTTTATTTGACTTAAACAATTTGAAATTCCGGGATTTGAACTCCAGACCCCTCGGCCACGGTGAAGTTATATGTAAAAGGCCTGAAGAAAACCATATTCTAAATTAGGGTTTGTAACCCTTATTATTTCGACGCTAACTGTTGTTTAACACAGATGTTAATAATCATGGAGCTTATTATAAGCATGTACGTCTATAAAGGATAAAACAATATTAGAAATCTTCGACCATTCGGGAATTATTTTGCTTGAAAATTAATGCGCCTGTCATTTGACCATCTTACGCAGTGATCTCCCCTGATTTTTTTTTTCGGCGTTTATAGCATATAAAGGGAAGTAACCGCTTCAAAAAAGCGGCCTACTTTCGGCATTTGCAATTAACAGCATCAGACTCTGAAATTTCGCTACCATTATTTGTTTGGTTTTACGACCCAAACAAATAATCAAAGCACTGAATGTACTGATGGGGAGGCTATGAGAGAATGTTTCAGACTTACAGTTTCTTTTCTTTTTCCTTAAAATGTGCTACCAAAATAAAAAGATATGCACATTGCGCTATTTATCCTTACTGTTGTGTTCAACCATTCATATATATGGTTAATGTGGTTGACTATTCATTTTGTTAATATTCCAGAACATTTCATTGAGGTCTACATTCGGACTGTTAATCATGCAAATTTTGAAAAACCTAAACTGTCAATAATAAATGACATACCAGCAAGTATGACGACTGTTCATTATCAGATAACAATAACATTTTACAACTGACGGTCCCTTATCAAAATATTCTAGGACTGTTCATCATAAATACTTTATGTCATTTTAATATTATTGAATGATTATAACAACTGCAAGTGATGCAACATTTTTATTGAACATAAAAATAATACACATTTAGATGTACCATAATTGAGATCAATAAGATACTGTCTTGTGATGAGTATTAATATTCATGCTATACGGACAGAAGGTTGTCTTCTCCAGAAGCAAATCTCGAATAAAACCACGTTTCAGAATATTATTCCCATTTCATTACTGACGGCGTCGGATAATATTAAAGCTAAATATTTCTTGAAAAAATACATATCTGCAAAGCTTATTCAATACTGAATCAACCTAAGTGAAACTTGATCAGGAAGTTATATCTTCTTTTTTTACCACCAACACTCAACCAACTTATGGTAGTTCAATCGATAGATTCTACGTGTATTTTTAAACCTCACTAACTTGAAATATATACTGCGGAAAATCTGTTGTTAACAGGGTGTGCGGTTATTACGTAGGGTTTTCCCTGTCGACCATTTCCCGCAAATAGATGAGAACGTCGAAGCCGTCAGTGCTATGAATGGTGTTATAAATGGCGTGTTTGGAAGTTTTTGTTGAAACTTCTCCAAATCCCTCCAGAGGCGTGCACGTCGCGGAGAAGGCACTCGGAAGGTCATAGTCAAGTCATCATAAGTACCAGAGATGATTGGTTGACCTGTCGTGACTTACTCTGGAGGTTTGGCGCTAATAGATGCCGTTTTTGTTGTCGTCAGTCAGAAAGTTGATGCCTTGACGGTATTGTCGTCTCCTTTACCACCAAAGAACGAAAAATGGGCTTCCAGGAAGAATCAGCTTGAAAAAGACGTCCCAGATGCTATAATCTCGGACATATGGTTATTCCGGCGCCGAGTATAAATAAACTTAAAACACACACACTTTTGTTGAAAACAAAACAAAAAAAACAACAACACATTTTCTGTAGTAATTTTTCAAGTGTTGTAAAATGAATAAGAAATACCTCTTATGCCGCCGATTATCTTTAGAACACAAACACATAAGTTCTTTTTTTTTTTATTTTTCAAATAAACATTAATCACTTCAGCGCGCGCAAATATCGTTTTCAAATTAAAGTTTCGTAAGATATGTTAATGACTTCCCGATGCTCGACTGTAAGTAATTTGTATATGTATGCGTTTTTTTTTGTTGTTTTTTTGTTGTTGTTTTTTTTGTTTTTTAATTAAAGCTTCTTATTCTTTAATATTTTTTATGTATCTCATAATCTGTATTGAAAATTTGAATTTTATTACACATGGACTATCAAATTATGATGCGTTGCCCTAGAATTGAATAAACTTTCTAATTACACAATACGGGGTCATACTGATCTTTGCGTCTTTCTCTGAAATAATTATTTCCTTGTTAAAACATACTTGACCACATATTTCTGTCAATTAACTGTTCACTTTACTTCCGATTTTTGTTGTACGGAAACACATGTTTCTATTTGTGTTTTCTAATCAATTCGAATCTATAATCAGTTTAATGGGATCACCACCGGGTAAACGACTACTAGGTACTTTTGTCATGTTTTTTACCCCAAATATTTGAATGTTTCTATTGGGATTAAAATGAGCATAGTTAACTAAACAACTGGTTGTATAAATCCCTGACCTGTCTAATTCTAATTATGAGATTAGTGAATATATAAGACTTTCACTACAAAATATTCCTAAACAAAAGAGCACATGTTTAAATTTATTCCTATACAAATAAAAGATCAGAGTAGGGATCTGTCAATTGCCAGACATATTTTTAAAAGATACTTTTATGTTAAAAGTTTGATTAATGAATTATGTTAGATGAAAATATAAGTATTGCTTTTTTTATTTTTCCTAATGTAAAATGTAATATTGTGCTGGAATTTTGTCGGAGGGGTTTTGTAGTTAAATAGTTTTTTTTTCGGCGATAATGGTTCAAGAATATAATGTTTTCAAACTATATGTTCATCACCATCAGTGAATTTTTAGTTAAATGTATCCAAAATATTTACTAACAGCTATATGATATAGCGGTTTATGACCGTTTTCCGCGTACAGCCTCCTGGGGTGTACTAATAAGTTAGTTTTCCTTAGTTATCACGCAAGCATGATCCATGTCTCTGATGTAAGCGACAGTTTACAATTATTTGTCTTTAAAAAATATTAAGGACTATTAATGGTTTATAACAACAAAAGAACATGCATGATATTGAGAATACGGTGTTGCAACGTTCTAGTTAATGACCCGTCATAAACAGTTGGTCGCTGCGTAGTAATTGGAAAATTGTTATCAAAAATAATAAAGAATATTTGCCACTAAATTACATTTACTTATAAATTTTCATTTATGCTTTTTGTTAAAAAATATTGATAAAGTTATTATTTTGAAGGGTTTTCATACCAGAACTATTTATTACAGACGTACGTTTGCCTAAACCTGATTACCGCGGCAGTATGACGTCACGGAGTAGTGATTTAAACAAAAATCAAGAATTTTTCAGAGAATTATTATCTTTACAAATTGCAGATATGAAATTAAAGAATGAAAATATTTTCATATTGTAAATGTCTGTGATGAGTGATGAGTCAGCTTAGAAAATATCAAGGTACTATTTTTTGACCTGATTACCGCCACAGGCAATCGGTGCGTGGCTTGGATAGTATACATGTACATGACCACGCCCACTTACTTTTTTATAAATTTTTTTTTTTTCACTAATAAAATATTTTTTTATTCAAAATATTTTTAAAATATCTTATTTTCAATAAATCAACAAAGAAAATTTGTTTTTAAAAAAATTCATCCATATATACTATTAATATAGTAAAGGTAGAAAGGTTCGCCAGCGGACCTACCACCAGGCCTTATGTTACCTCCCAGATCTTTGTTAATTGTCAACCAATTTTCACCAAATAAAGTGCAATCTACGCAGAAATGATTTCTCTTTCGAAAAATGTACAATATTAAAACAGTTGGTACGACAAAAGATGGAATTTTAAAGCAAAAATGCACTTTTTGTCTAGGTCGGCCATCGCTTGACCGAGCCGAAAGTAGACGATTTGAACATAAATCGATCTTTTTCTTAATAACAAACTAATGTCAGTGCATGCAAACAGTTGAAATAGAAAAGGCAGCTATAATACTATCGCTTACCGGTCCAAAGTAAATCCAAAACGTCTGCAGGTACGCACTTTCAGTAGTTATTTGCACTAACTTTTTAAATTTCCCGACATTGTACATGTATACAAATTCTGATCCGGATATTCAAGGTACGCATGCTCGGTTCCCGCTGGTACCCAGCTTCGCTCAATTTTTATTATGCGAAAAGCGGTACGCATCAGGTACATCCGGGTCAGCATTTGTATACATGTAATGTCAGGGAATTTAAAAAGTTAGTGCAAATAACTACCGAAAGTGCGTACCTACAGACGTTTTGGATTAACTTTGGACCGGTAAGCGATAGTATTATAGCTGCCCTTTCTGTTTCAACTGTTTGCATGCACTGACATTAGTTTGTTATTAAGAAAAAGATCGATTTATGTTCAAATCGTCTACTTTCGGCTCGGTCAAGCGATGGCCGACCTAGACAAAAAGTGCATTTTCGCTTTAAAATTCCATCTTTTGTCGTACCAACTGTTCTAATATTGTACATTTTTCGAAAGAGAAATCATTTCTGCGTAGATTGCACTTTATTTGGTGAAAATTGGTTGACAATTAACAAAGATCTGGGAGGTAACATAAGGCCTGGTGGTAGGTCCGCTGGCGAACCTTTCTACCTTTACTATATTAATAGTATATATGGATGAAATTTTTTAAAAACAAATTTTCTTTGTTGATTTATTGAAAATAAGATATTTTAAAAATATTTTGAATAAAAAAATATTTTATTAGTGAAAAAAAAAAAT